TTTTTCGCGTAAGGCGTGGTAGCGCAAGGGGTCAACACTCAGCGTGTATGCTGAGGGTCGTGGGTTCAATCCCGGAGTGTGCGCAAGCGAATTTGAATTTTTCTCTTTGCCGAAATTGTTGTTTTTTTCTCGTTTATTTACCTGTCGTATAGCTAGCTATATGCATTGGGAAGATGAATTTGGATGCATTTCGATGATTTTAGGAAAAATTAATGTAATTTTGGTGGTTTTCTGCTTATGAAACATTCTACAACCAGTCTCCGAAATGCGCGCATTTTTTGAAAAAATAGTATACTATAGTACATGCCGGCTGGCAGCCGAGCAATCGGAGACAAAATTTCCGGCTGTCAGCCGGCGTCAAACGCGCTAATCGGGTGAACCGTTAGGGCAGTACGGGAAAATATCGAACCTCGTTCTTGCTGTATTGACCTCGCTATCGCTCTGTCAACACAGCAAGACCTCGGTTGGACATTTCCGGTACTGTCCTCATTCTCGGTCAGTAAGTTATTAATTTTAGCGCGGTGTATATTATTTTTTGACAATGTAAAATGTGACGTCATGGGCCCCCCAGAGAAGATTTGCCCCGGGAATCTTTGCCCCGGGAATTGTTTTTCACCTGCGAATTTTCTCGGCGGCCATGAGCCAACAATCAATACGTTCGCTAAATATTCCTAATTTATCAACTGTTGGAAATGTCGGCGACAACTGCGTTGAAAAAATTACCTATTTAGTGTATTTTCATATTGGCGTGGATTTATCCAAACCAACAATTAATAGTTTTGCATAATATTGCTAGTTTACCAACTACGGTATGAGGAAATGAGGTTTGGACATTTCGGTTTCAACTGCTTTGAAAAATGACCTATTTAGTGTCGTTTCATATTGGCGTGGACTTATCGAAACCAACAATTAATATGTGTGCAAAATAATCTTAATTTACCAAATAATTATGTGGAAGTTGTGGCTTGGAGATGTCGGTGACAACTTCTTTGAAAAATGACCTATTTAGTGTCTTTTCATGTTGGCGTGGTTTATCCAAACCAACAATTAATATGTTTGCAAAAAATTCTTAATTTACCAAATATGTGGAAATGTTGTTTGGAGATGTCGGTGACAACTGTTTGGAAAAAATGACCTATTGACATGATTAAATTAAAATGACCCAACTGTTTGGAAAAAACGTTCCCAATTTATCAACCATGGAGAAATGTGGTCTCGACATGTTAATATGTTTACAAAATATTTAACAATTAATCGCCGAAAGCGAGGTGATTATCGGGGAATATTCGCCGAGACGAAGTCGAGGTGAATATTCCCCGATAATCACCGAGCCTGAGGCGAATAATTGTTTTAGTATTTTTACACAAGCTTTTGTGTTTTTTGAGACTAAATTTATTTTAATTTCACTTATTTCTTTGTCAGTAAACTTCCATAAAACAGGTAGCCGCCATTTTGAATTTTTTTGTGAATACCGGCGAATATTCACCGAGACGAAGTGGAGGTGAATATTCACCGTAATTACTGAGCCTGAGGCGAATAATTGTTTTTGTATAAATTTTTAATGAATAAAACAAAATATCAAAATATCAGTTTAATAAAAATTCAGAAATAAAACTGTTTTCGGCCTGTTCACGGTTACTGTCACTAACAGTATTGCAGTGTTTCTTGTACGCACACTATTTCAAAATAGCTTCTTGTTGTGTGTGGCTTTATTGCTTTATTACAAAGTTGTTTTTATCGATTTCTGCTCAGAATATAAACACAATAACGGAATTACTTTTTCACCAGACTTAGAATTAAAAAATAGTTTCTGTTTAGCAAGATTTTTCATGTTGATATGAGCGGGGTGCGCTGATAGGGAGCACCCCTCAGAAACTCTGGGTTGGCACTATTTTCCATCCAGCAAACTAACCTGACGTCATTTTCGCAAGATAGAAGTGGTGTTAAATGGCTATGTAACTAACCCAAACCCGATACACCCCTACTCCAACCCCTAACCCTAACCTCAACCCTAACCCAAACCCAATTAATATAAAAATAAAAAAAAAACGACTTTACAAAATCGATAGGGCGGTTTGCTGGATGGAGAAAAGTGCGAACCGAAATTCTGTCGATTAGCTGCCATTATCCTATAAGTTTTATTTTTGGTAAGTTTTATCTTTCTTTAACCTAAAAATAACAAAAAAAGTTAAATTCACATCCAAAATGCTGTTTTTTGGCCCCATTGAATATGACCGACTATCCAAAAATGGCGAATATAGCACCAAACGTGCAGGATGCATTATATATTGAACACTTTCGTACAAGAAATTTTCCAATTGAGAGTAAAGCTTTTGCCATGATTTTCAAAGTAAATATTGTATTTTCAAAAGTATACTGCAGGCTCGTAGCTCACCTGCCTTACAATTCATGTAACACATAGTATATTGGTATAAAACATGGCTGCCATTTCGTGGTCGACTTCAGAGTAACGTTTTATGTTTACACTAAAGAAGTTATGCCTACAAAAAGTGTTAGAGTTTCAACAGAATGCACAATTGCGTCACATTATTACAACAGTGACACTGTCACAGTGATATGAAGGTAAAATCAGTGCTGTTGAAACTTGAAAATGATTTGGATAGTTTATATTAGGAACATGTAAGTTTCAGTTGTATGCCTTTTCATATGGCACAGAAATGCCAACTTGGAAAGCAAAATAGTGGTGATTATGGACATCTGAGATATGCTATAACATAAAAGTAATTCTTTTGAATGTAAAAGACCCAAAAAATATCACATCCAAAATGATTTGTTATCTCTTTACAAAATGGGTAAAATAATAATAACCAAAATGGGTAAAATATGCTTGCTGAAAGACAGGGAGATGTTACGCCTTGAAGATACAAAGAAATATGTGTATTTGAATGTATAAACATATTATAAATAAGTATTTTATATTATATAAGTATTGTATAGTATGCTATATTATATGTTATACTATATTTTACTATTTTATATAGAATATTATGGATATTTTACTTTGTAAATAATGTGTAATAATCCATCTTTATATGTTCTCTAATTATATTATTTTATTTATGTCCTGGGAAGTGATTCAGCCAAAAATAATGTCCAACCCACATGTTCCCATTTTTGGCCCCGACACCTTGTTTGGCAAATGTCGGCAAACGTCCGGTTAACTTAGGAAAAATATTAAAAGTCACGAAAGCGCAGGTAAATGGGATCATTTGCTCAGGAATGACGGATAAATATTTATAAGGGTGCGCTCATTGTGCGCACCACCGGTACAAATAGGGTTAAACAGTCTACGGGATAAGAATGCGCGTCTGGAGTGTAATGTGGTGATATTAGCTTTGGCTAACGCTTCTCCATATTTTAAATGGTCAGAACACCATACAGCACAATGAAAGCATGACATATCGAAAGAAATAGTATCGCACAAATTAAGAAATCTATAGGATACAAACTACAAAATGAATTTAAAAGAATATTACGGCAAGGTTTTTCCCAACAGTCGGCATATACTTTTTGCTATTTGTTTGGTGTGAATGTTTCTGAGTTTAAATAAGTTTTAAATTGTTTGGTGAATGTGTTTGAGACAGTAAAATAATAAAGGCATCATACCTTTCAAGATAAATACAACATTTTGTGCTTCTTTCGTTTTCTGGGGACGATTTTTTTAATATTATGTGAATATTGAAAAGCATTATTCTTTTTAAAAAGCATTATTTACTGCCCAGGTGGTAAATAATGTTTCAGATTTACTAGTCCATTAGCTAATCAGATCGCGCGAAAGCTCATTCGATATGCAACATTAATTATACTAAACGTGGATATGCTTGTAGTACTTTCCAATATTCTATTCAAACATGATATTTTGTAATCTGTTATATCCAGCTCCTACACCATCGACAGATTGCAAAGGAAAGAACTGGCAGAAAGGACCAGGAACACTTTGCTTTCAAATCAACCACGTGCCCAAAACATGGGAAGGTAAATGGTTCGCATATATTGTTTGTGTTGCCACTCAGCATTTGGTTCAAATATATTTACCAGTTAAAAAGTCTCGGTGAAGTGATAGGCAGGCCATTAGCAATGCATGTTAAATATTTGGCTAAAAGAGTCAACTTCAAAGGCCACGTAAAGTCTGTAATGTAAACAAACGCTTTCTTTACATTTTGAACTCAGTGCTACAGGTGTAAAATATGATTAGATATACATTATACTGAATTTGAACACTCTTCTGTTATGAATAAGATTAGAGATTCAATTCAAAAAGTTCGGAAGGTTCGAAATATTAATAACATTCCAGTGGTCGGGTCCCGACCATTGGAATGTAGGCCTGCGCAGAAAGTATGCGCAGAACGGACTTTACATGGTCTTTAAATAAAACTGTTTAACTGGGACGAAAATGTTTAAACTCACAATTCATTTCTGCAGTTATATATATATCTGCTACAGGCGACGTCACTAACTGTACACTACCTAAGATAAGGTTGACAAATTAATCAATCAAAAAATCTCTATCCCTTAAAACTATTAAAATGTACTCTAATGGTTTAACAAATACACAAAGATAATAAACAAAACTTGCATTCACGATAGTTTTACAGCAGTACGTCCTTACAAATCTTTACGAAAAAATTCTAAATCCCCAAGGCCCATTTTATACGTCGAATTTCGGTCGCGTCGAATGCATTCAAACAAAAGATTATGAAGCTTAACGAGGTTTATCATCGCATTATCTATTCTCTTTATTGCATTCGACGGGACCAAAATTCGACATATAAAACTGGCCTAAGACGAAAATACACGAAATGCTTTCGGCAATTTGCGAATAGCCAAAAGGATTTCTTATTCGTCTTATGAAAATTCCTTTTCAGCACGTTCCGGGAATGCATCCAGCACAGTGCCTTATTTGGAAGAAAAAATATCTAATAGCATCCAGCGAACGACGTCGTCCGTAGCATCCAACCAGAACTGCAGAATGCATTGTTATCTAAATATTTAACGCCTTAAATTAAAAAAATTCATTAACAGCTTGATTATTTTAATCACGGTGGAAATTTAAGGTGGAAATTTCCCCACGGTGGAAATTTACAAACAAAATATCAATAATTATTGCTGTGATATGACAACAAATAAGGCTTAATTAGTAACATTAACTTTTTGATCGCAATCAACGAGAGAATCTCCAGCGATTACATGCAAGAAATCGCCACAGAATTTAAGTATCGATGGCGCGTGTGGCGATAATAATTCCTCATTTTATCTCATAACTGTTAAAGACGGGATGTAAAAATCGTTTATTTCACATTTGATACGTTTTACGATCGATCACGACAATCAGCGCATAATGTTCAAGTACTGTTGGCGTATTTCATTTAGGACAAACACAAAGCGATGATAAACGATACGAACATTTTACCGAGATGACTGGGACCCTCTGAGCACTCCGAGCCCCAGGTATTTCGCCGGCCATGCATAACACCCTTAAGTTTACTTGTCATCATTGCAATATATTAACATTTAAACTGTGCATGAACAGTGGCCAAATATATGATACCTTGTATTTAATTTTAGATGCGCGCTCAACGTGTCTTGACCGAGGTGGCGATTTGCTGTCAATCACGACGGAGGAAGAAAGCAAAGCAATAGCGGAAAAAATTAAATACGGGATGGATGATTATTTCTGGATTTCTCTAAATGATCGTGATTATCGAGGCATCCATTATTGGAGCAACAACGAGGCCTTTGGGTTGATTAACTGGGGATCAGGAGCGCCTGAACATTACAATGAACACTATCCTGAGGATACTAGTATGAAAATTATTTTGTTTTCTGAACTCATCTGGGGCCGGTTGTTCGAAAGCCGTTTAATTTAATTAACTTAAACGGCGTTTAGCTGTAAATCGGTGTATAAATTCCTTTTCCGACAGTTATAGTTAACCGGCTGATAAAATTGCGCGTTTTATACAAAACTCATTTAGTACCGCCTTTAACTATCCATGGAATTACCTTTAATTTAAGCGGAGAAAACCGGATTTTCCTGAAATTTTATACTTCTACATCAGCTGTTGCTAGGCATTTAGAAACTTTTGAACCTTTAAAGGGCTGTGACTGTAAAAATCTACCACTGACTTTGCAGCCAAATATAAACCTACCTTCCTTTTCGGCTTAGTTCCCCAAATCTGGAGAAGTATTGGGGTTTTTGCTCATTTTTTCCCAGAGTTTTGTTTTCAGTCATTATTGCTTGTATTAGGCGCCATTTGGGATGTCGAAAATGACAATTTTCATACAGCTACTACAGAATTGTCCTTTAATCTATTGATTTCACCATAATATATTCTGAAAGACTGTGCCTTAGTTTACTTATTGATGGAAAAAATAATAAAATATTTATTTTTTCCGGTTTACCTCATCTTGAATGAGCCCTAATAAGTTCCGTATTTTTGGGCAAACCTTTTGCTGATGATAGAATCTCGTCTCTTTGGTTTTCGCCTCCCACGCGTTAAGAATACAATCAATTATAGTTTGACTACTGCTGGCGTGTTTCGCGTCGCGAGTAAAAAGTCGCGGTCCTAAAATAGCTCCAAACGGTGTATTTTATTGAGTCGCGGGATGAATAAAGTGTGTAAAAATCACATTATTATTTAGTTATTTAATAGTTTTTTTCAATAGTATTATTTATTATTCAATATTGACGTATATATGCAATGTATATTGTTTGTATAAAGCCTTCCGCCGGGGAGGGGGTATTACAGAAAGAGAAAGATCCAGGATTAACTCGCGTCTGGCAGCAGATAACAATTTTGAAACATCAAGGCTATACATATCATATCATATCAAGGATCATGAGTTAAATCTAATACTCCAGTATTCTTCGATGTCCTGTTAAATGCATCCTATAATGTCTGAAAACGAAGAATGCATTTTTTTATTTCAAACGGAGAATGCATTTTTTATTACACTTGGAGTCAACTCAAATGTTTATCCTGTTGTGATACGACAGAACGGCTGGTGTTATGTTGCGTACTTTCCGAATTAAAACCACCCAGTAGTATAGTAGGTGGTTTTCGACCCTTATTTTTGAGGGTGAGGGAGGAAAGAATGAGGGTGAGGTAATTGATATTCATAAAAATGCGGGTGAGGTAGGGTGAGTGAGGGTGAGGTAATTAATATTCATACAAATGAGGGCGAAGGAGGGCGAGTGAGGGTGAGGTAATTTATATGCATACAAATGAGGGTGAGGTAATTAATATTCATACAATTGAGGGTGAGTGAGGGTGAGTGAGGGTGAGGTAATTAATATTCATACAAATGAGGGAGAGTGAGGGTGAGGTAATTAATATTCATACAAATGAGGGTGAGTGAGGATGAGGTAATTAATATTCATACAAGTGAGGGTGAGTGAGGGTGAGGTAATTAATATGTGAGGAGGAGTGACGCGAAGTAATGACGTCACGCGGGCAAGTTTAGGCAGGTAATGACGTCATGCTGGCATGTTCGAGCGATACTTGGTGAATAGGCATTTTTAGCATCCCTCCACGTGTGTGATACAATAGAGGGATTAATGTTGGCTTGCTATGAACTTTTATACAAGTGTCTGGATAAAATCGACAAGCATCTTGTAATAATCATAGTTCTGCATCAGTCATGCAGTGTCTACATGGTAAAACGGCATCTTACAATTTATTGGAAGGAATTTTTGCGAATGCAGTCGCACATAAAGTTCAAAGACTTTGTGTGGAATCCTGTAATGGTTGTCAAGTCGGTCATCCTAGTCAAAGGCAACATGACTGCTTCGTGATAAACGAAAAGGAAGGATGGCAAATGTGTGGTTTACAAGCAATCAAACGAGTGAATGGTAAGTGCATGGTTTGGAGTCAATTCGCTGAGGCAATGAGGGTACTGAAACTGGCGGCTCCAGTACCCTCAGTACTCCAGTATCCAGATTCTACGTTTGTCGATTTATTGATGGAACTACTTCAGAACACTGAGAACCACGAACTACAATGTATACTGAACTATTTGTTTCATTGGAGATTAGAAGACCCACTCGAGTCAGTAGCTGAAGCGCGCGTTTTTGTATCTGCGAAGCAGGTATTCTCGACATTTTGGATTTCGCTGTCTTATTTTCTCTTTTTTAGAACGTTGTTTTCAATTTGTGCAAATACAACATATTTTTATCAATTCATTTCGATATTTTAAGCCATGTGTCAACATAAACATTAATACAGCAAAACATTCATTGTGCAATATGTTCTACAGTCAAAACATAGCAGGCAATATTGCCAATGAACAATATCACATATCTCAAAGGGCACTAATGTTGTCAGGAATATTGAATTAAATCGTGGTCCTGTTCAAAACAAAAGTCCAACTAGGTTGCCAGCAAATGTAGTGTTGCAACAAAGGTTAAGACGCTTTCAGTTTATATTTGCACTTGTTGTGACCAATTATGGTACAAGCATAGTGTCATTCCAGTCACGACAAATAAAGAAAATAATCCTGATGTTCAAAAAAGAATGTTAAATAGAAAAAGCGTTAATAATGTGGAGTGGTTGTGTAAAACCTGTAATAAGTATTTAAAAGCAAAAAGTTGCCTCCTTGTGCTGCCGTAAATGGGCGGCAAATTTCCAGAAAAAACCTTCGTTTTTCGATCTAAATTAATTAGAGTGTAGACTGCTTGCTCCAAAACTTGCATTTCAAAAACTAATGCAGGATCCTAGAGGTAGACAACTGGAAATCAATGGATACATTGTTAATGTTCCAGCAGATGTTGTTAATACTGTTAACATGTTGCCCAGGTTTACAAATGAGACCAGCACAATTAAAGTTAACCTTAAGAGAAGACTGCAATACAAAAGTACTGCTTTATCACAAAACGTTAGACCAAATAAAGTAGCAGAAGCTGCCAACTTTGGCTTGTAAATAATGGTAACCTTTATAAAGATGAAGGTATAACTTTCAATGATACTTGGCTTGAAGATAATTCAAATACTCAAATGGTGTTTGATGATAGTGACAATGATCAAACTTCAGATGGTTCAGAAAATATTGTGGACTGTAATGCAGAAAGCTTGAATTGTGATACAGAATGTAAAACCCAGCAATCATTTGCATGTGATGATGATGAACACAGGAGTGAAGACGAGGCAGAAATACCTGCTGGAGTCACTGACACTGTGTTAACATCTCCAGATTTTGTTACTGATAATGAACGTCAGCATATTTTAAATGTTGCACCTGGTGAGGGCAATAGGCCTATGAGTATATTTAGGGATAAACACTGAGAGGAATTAGTATATCCTGGTATATTTCTGTACAGAAGTGACCAGACAATACAAATAGACTAACCAAAGTCCATTATAGTGAAATTTGTAAATTTGAATTTGAAAGGTCTGACCGAAGGGTTGCAATGTGTGTGGAAAATATTTTCTTTAAAACAAAGAAATTGGAAGTGAAGATTTTGCTTGGGCAGTCACAAGTTGCATTAAGAAAATGTCAACGAAATAGTAGAACAATCACTGCCGGTCAACTAAAACAACCGGGTGCATTAGATAACGTTACATGATTCACGATCACGGATTTAAATTTCTTAGAGCTGTAAGAGGTTCACCTCCATATTTTGAAAAAGCTAAAAAGGATATATTTGCTATGATCAGGAAGCTATAATCTGCTTCATTATTTTGTAGT